AGGTCATTTTGAGCGGAGCAAGCTCTACACTCAAGACCTTCAGGACTTTCTAGCCTTACAAAGAGTAGGGTCGCGACCTCTTACCTTATGAATGCAAATGCACATGCTTTTTTACATACATTTCCAACATCACTCAAACACCCGTATGCGTATTCTTTCTTTTATTGCTCTATCAATTCATAATTAAATCACAATACATACAATTGTACAAAGTACTTGTAAATAATTTCACAAACTAATAAGTAAAAAAGTTACTTCAGTTACCTTTTTACCCTTCTTGTCAAGGGTTACCATTCACATTGAACTAATTTTCACAAATTAGTTTAACCCCCATGAGCAATCCTCAAATGCTTAATCTACATAATGAACATTCCTTACTTAATTTTCAATATTTTAGTATAGACATTAATTTAGTTGAGCCAAATTTCTCAACATATAAAACAACTGAACTAAGTCTCTTGAGTTCATATAATTGATTCTTTATAGTCACTTGCCCTTAGGCTACTCAATTGACCAAAACACCCTCCTTACTTACTTTTTTACTAGTTTTCTCCCTTTTTAACCTAACAAATTAGGTTAATTATGCCTACATCCTTAAAATTAGCCATTAATTTTTAGACTAGTTGCAACACCTTAATTTCACACTCAAAAGGCCTTTTTTAAACCTTTCCCTTAGATTTTAATTCCTTAAAACTTTCAGATTTAATTTCTCTACTGATAAAACTTAAAGAAAATAGGGTAGAAACATAGTGTAGGACTGTACAAAACTTACCCAATAAGTTACCGATCGAAGCAAACTTTCGATCATTGGATTATGGTTGCCTTAGCAGAAACAAGCTTTTCTCTCCCTCTCATGCATGCTTTCCTTCTTTTCTCTTTTGTTTTCATGAGCTAAAAATGTTAGCTTTAAGCAAACTCTGTGCCATACGTCATGGTGCATGTAGCACATGTCGTGGCACATGGCACAATAAGGATAATCTCATTAGTGCTCATGTGTTTCATCCTAACTTGCCATTCCACCATTCAATCCCATTAACATATCAACCAATCAATAAAAAATATCAACCCAACATCCAAACCTAATTCCACTAATTACTAATTTACTCCTAATTAGCAATTAGTTTTATAGATTAAAATTTAGGATATTACAATCTACGATCATCACATATTCACATAACAATAAATCATTGAATTCTACATCATATCACATCACATCATTGGGCTCCTTATGACATTGAACTCTATTTGGTCATAGAACTTTTTAGTTGAACAATTTTCTCATTATTCATATACTCATATCATTTCATAATCATTTCAATTGTCACATAACAATGTATCATACACATACATGCACTTCACGAGTTGCCAATTTATCATTGCAACAAACTAATTCATTGTACCACAATCATTTTCCATGACACATGCCACATTTATATTGAATGTTAGTTTATAAAACTATATAACTAATTAACATACAAAGGTACAAGAAAGATTTCCTTCAGTTATCTTAAACTTTTGAAAGGTCAAATGTTTACCCTTCAAGCAAACACTTTCAAAGCTAGTCCAAGCTTTAATGGTGTCAAGTTGTGATCACTCTACATTTATTCACATTAATAATCATCAATACCCTTTTTAGGATAATTTTCAATATCTAATTCAACATTTTCAATTCCTAAAATCCAACTTCTTCATATACATGAATACCCAGAGGGTTTATTGGCTTTCTTTAACTCATATTGATTCACATTAATGTCAATAAACTTCCAACCAACCATTAATGGCATTTCAACTCTTCCATCAACCATTACAAATGCCATTTTTGGATATTAATAGCCCCTACACTTTAAAAATGAGTAAAGCCATAAATTTTTAGTTTAAATAATTAACTTTATTTAAGTTAATGGGTTTAGACCCATAATTTCTATGGATCAAAATTATATTTTCTAACAAACCATAACTTCCCTACTCAAGAAATTGCAAAACGAAGGAAGTACTTAGGAGACTCATATTTAATGTTTACAAACTTCAAATTACTCCTAATCCTTCATAATGGCAAGCCTTAGTAGAGCTCTTCACGGTTAACTCGTTTTTCTTTTGTTTTTTTTTTACTTTCTGAGTTTGATTCATGCTCTTATTTTTGCATATTCTCAACCATGCGCAACAATGCCTACCATATGCACTGTGTATATAGTATAGAGAAGCTTAGTTTGAGTTCTAATGACTCGTGCACTATGACATCTTGTGCACGTACCATGGCATGTGGCACATAGTCATTTCTCCTTGTTTTTCTCCTATTTCAAGGTCTAGATATCTCAACTCCACTCCAAACTCAATCCTAAGGCTAAATTTACAACCCAAAACATTTATTAACTCTCTGTAACCACACTAAACTAATTATCTAATTAATTTCATTTAATATAGCTAATTAAGGGTTAATTTTCTAGGATGTTATAATTTCTTTTCTACCATGATAGACTCTTTTTTATCATGGTAAACTTTCTAAAAGATAAGTTGCCTTTAGTTACCATGGTAGGCCTTTGAATTATCATGATAGGTTTACATAATATTATGTTTGTAAAAAAACAAAAAGATAGAGAAAGAGTTACACCATCTATTGCAGCATACCACAAGAATGTTGTCCACCAGACTTAGGGGCCAAACTTCTGACACACCTAAAATTTCCATGATTGAGGTGATTTAGGTGTCTACAAAAAACTTATTTAATAAACTAGTTAATGATAGTAATTTCATTTCTAAATAATATCATATTATGAAGTTGGACACTTAAAACCTAAACAATCACATTTTCACACTTAAACACTTACAAGATGTCCAAACTCCCTACCAAGTGCCAATAGTCCAAACCAATTCCTAGTCCATACTTAAAGGACTTAAGACTACTTATATAATGCACCACATCAATCACAATCAACATAAATATCATTTTCAATCCTCAACCCCAAATATAACCAAAATCAAGAGGGAGATTCACTATTATTTTTCCAATATCTCAAGTTAATATTCACCAAAATATTTATAATCATACTTGCACTGGTATTTTAGCCCTGTCTAGACAAATAAGTTCATACCACATAACTTAAAACCTAAAACATGACCAATCACAAATAAGATGTAAATGGTATAAGTATAACAAAACAAACATCCTAGTTGGCATTATAATTTACATTACACATATAACCAAAAGTAAGCAAAGGCATTATAATAGGAATCTCAGTCATGTGCCTTAGATTCTTCTCCTTTTACCCTTTCCTAAATTAGTTCATGTAATATATTAATAAAGAGGGATGAGTATAACCACTTAGTAAATAATGTATCATAAATCATGCACATGCAAGTCAATTAGTTATAAGTATACAAAGTGGGCAAGTTGATTAATCAACTTCATACAAAACATTCATATCACAATAATTAAAGAGATGCATGTTCAATAACTTCCCTTATATCCTCTTAATTCCTCTGACCAAATTTGTAGACTATTAAAATAGTACAAGGACATGCTGATGCAAATGGACTAATTCAAGATTATCAATTGTAAGGGAAAACCTAACCAAAGGTGCCACGCTCACTCTTAGACCACAGATTTTCCTATTTTGAACTTTTAGGGTGTTGCGAGCTCTAACCCACACCCAATTAAGGGTGATATTAAGGGTTAAAGGATCCGAGTAACCTATCTCACACGTAATTTAGGGTGATATTAAGGAATACCCATCTCAAACCAAACACCGAGGCTATCCATGATGTTGGTAATATCTACATAGACACAAAGCACTAACTCCTTAAAAGTGAATTCTCGCTATCAATCATGATGATGCCACAAAATATCATGCTTAACAACATATAGCATATCACAATTTCTCATTGCAATCTTACTCATCTTCACAAAATTTCTTGCAATATTAAAAAAAATCCTCATCACATCATTTTCATCACCAATCTCTTTCACACTTATATAAAAGGCTGCGCTTGCATATAAATTTCTAAAGCAGTAAATATTGTGATATAAAAAGAAGTTTACAAGTTCATAAAAAACCATAACCAATTAGACAAGCAATTAAACATGAAATAGATTCTTCTAGTTACCTTTAACTTTTATGATACCAAGGTTAGCCCTCAACAACTTCCTTCTCAAACTAATCTCCAAGCTCAAATTTGGTGTATAATAAGGCTATTCAACATTTTATAACAATTCTCATTAATTCCCAATTCATTATCAATACTTTAGAATTAACACTAACCATTTAGTCAACTCAAACTCTTGCATTTTCTTACACCTAATGGGTGCATTGTTTCCCATTAGCTCTATTTGATTCCTATTAACTCTATTTTAAATACAGGCATGATGTGATGCACGAATGACAAGTGACATAGCATGACATGGACACTCACGTAGTAGATAACATGGCATGATGTGGCCTATACATAGGAGGGGATTGGGGAAATAAAATTTTTAATATTGATATTATCTAAATTTCTCACAGAATTTATCTAGATATATTTCATGAGAAATTATTCTGAGAGATAGTTCTTACAAAAATTTACTAGAGAAGTTTCTCTTCTATTTTTTTTTAAAAGAAGTTCTCTTGGATTAGTTTGAAAAAAAAAAACACTTTTGAATTATTTTTAGGGAAATTGAATATTTTGAAAGGAAATGATGCCTAGAATCAACATAAACCCTTATACTAATGTGAGTTCAGGAAGCATACCTCTTAATTTCACTAATTAAAATCTCCATGCAAAAAAATGGAGTTACTCAAACCCAATTTTTGATTAAAAACAGATACATGAAAGAAGGAAAAAGAGACAAATTTTCCCAAGTGCTTCTATAAAATGTGCGAGAGTTTGTTTTACAATAGCCTCATGTCTTGCATTTAACTCCCCTGTAATCCGTTGCTAATTTTTGAATGTGCATGCAATTGGTAAACCATTCCCACGCTATTTAAATAAAAAGGGGAAAACTTGCATGTAAGGGCCCATACATATTACACATAAGAACCCATATATGAATAATATTCAAATAAATTCCTTGAGCTTGGTTTTGGGCCTGATGATAACCCAACAATATTAATATTACAACCTAAAAGTATAATGATGAACTATATAAAAAAAGGTATAATGATGAAACAATAAAATCTGCACAGTTCTTACAAGACATGCGTGATACACATAATGTGCACAAATCTAAACACTAAATAACATACATTCACAAGCCAAAATTGTTCTAAATTCTACAAATGAACACTATCTTGGTGACATTGTGGAATTGCTACAAGTAGCATGAGAAGAAGGATGGCTAGTCAAGGTGAATGAGCTGTAATGATTATTATACTCTCTCTTCATAGCTCTATACACTTGCTCTAAGCCTTCTTCAATCAATTCTGTTATTGTTTGTGGCATTGGTGGTGTGTTGATGCTAATGGACCCTTCCAGCATCCTCACCACTTCTCCCATTGTTGGTCTCGTGAAAACCTCATCTTGGATGCACCAAAATGCAACTCTCAGAGCTCTTGTCAGCTCCTCTTCATCAACTGCCCCATTCAATCTCCTATCTGCTACTTTTATTGATGTCCCATTTGTCAGTGCCTTTAATAGCCAAACATTTCATCATCAGTGTTTATCAAATAGTTAGATCTTTAAAATAAGGGTTAAATGGTCATTTTGCCCCTAAACTATAAGTCCAAGAATGTTTATGATTCTAAACTCGTTTTTGGTACAATGTTCCCCTTTACCTTTTGAAAACAGTGCAATGCCGCACCTACCATTAACAAAAATTAACTTTAACTGTTAATTAACCAGAAAATAATAGAAAATGACCTCAAAAATTGCAAAAAAAAATACCAAGAAAATTTTAAAAAAGAACTCAAAATTACAAACAAGAACCCAAAAAAAAAAGGACCAAGAAAACAAAATTAATTTTTATTAACGATAGGAATAAGAAGGTTACTTTTATTAAAGAAAACATTGTCCTTTCATGTAATTTTTGAAATCATTTTTTATTATTTTCTAGTCAACTAATGGTCAAAATTAACTTTTATGTTAGATAGGGGTGACATTACACCATTTTCAAAAGTTAAAGTGAAGCATCATACCAAAAATAAGTTTAGTACACCATATTCCCTTAGACCTATAGTTTATGGGCCAAATTATCCTTTAACCCTTAAAATAATCAAGAGTAAGTATTAAAATTATCACAATAGCTTCAATAGATTAATATAAAGTCAATTCCAACCTTCATAAAGTTAGGTTTTTGTGCATTATCAGCTTCTAAAAGAGGACACAAAATGAAAACAAGGTTGTGACTGAATTACATGACTATTGTTAGAGGGTTACTGCTAAAACGTCACCATAAATTTTTATTTTACATTTCAAAAGGCAAGAAAGTAAGTAAAACTATGGTTATAAAATATACCTTATAAGCCCAACCAGGATAAAAGAAGTCCTCTGCATCAAAGGACATGTCAAGATTTCTTCGGCCACCAATAATCTCTAGCAGAAGCATTCCATAACTATAAACATCAGCTTTTACTGTTATTGGGCGATTGCTAACCCATTCTGGTGCTAAATAACCTCTAGTCCCTCTCACCATTGTTACCACATGAGAATGCTCCCTTCCCATCAGTTTTGCCAATCCAAAATCAGATACTTTAGGACAAAAATTCTCATCCAACAGAATATTTTCTGGCTTTATATCACAATGTATAATTCGGTTCCTGCACTGCTCATGAAAGTATGCAATCCCTTGTGCAGTAGCAATAGCTATATCAAACCGAGTTTGCCAATCTAGCAACCTATCTTTTCCTTGATACGAAAGAAAGATCCATTTGTCCAAAGACCCATTTTTCATGAACTCATACACTAGTAGCCTACAAGTACAAGACAAAGTTTTTTTTTCAAAAAAACACACAAATTTGATAAATAAGAAGCTTAAATCAATATCCTTTAGATGGAAAACAAAAAAAAAAATTTCAAGTCACAATACAATGTCTTATTCAAAAGAAAAAGGTCATGCATACCGATGTGATCCCTCTGAGCAATAGCCATATAATCGAACCAAGTTCATGTGGTGCATCGAGCCAATGGTGTTTACTTCAGTGATGAATTCCTTTTCTCCATGAGGCAAAACCCTATCAAGTTTCTTTACTGCCACTAGTGTCCCATCTCCAAGACTTCCTTTGTACACACTTCCGAATCCACCTGCAAAACAAATGCAATTAGCCTCTCCAATCATCAAATTTGTTATTATTCATTGTGCTATGTTAAATTGGGTTAAGGGGCATTTTTGCTGTTCAACTATTCACTTAGGAGTATCCAGTATCCTAAATTTATAATTGGTCCAATTTATCCTTAAAAATGATGCACTTGACACCTTCTTGTTAAAAAGTTATCTTTAATTGTTAGTTAACTTAAAAGTTGCAGACAAGAATATCAAAAATCACAAAAAAAGGACCCAAAAGATACACATAAGTGCAGTATAAAAAATTAATATCAATTAAATCTATAAAATAGTGTGAAAATTCACAAATCCACTTGTAAAATTTATAAACTATCCTTTAAAAATTTACAACTAGTTAAAAAAATGTGTTTTTATAAGTAACATTATTTGTAGGAATACTTATAAACTATCACATTATTTTAGGAACTTTATTGATATTAATTTATTTATAGGATATTTATTTGTTATTTTATATGTCATTTTTTTATAATTTTTGAAGTCCTTTTTTGTGAATTTCAAGGGTAATTAACAATCAAAGTTAACATTTTTAACAGCAAGGTATCCACCATACCATTTTTAAATATTAAATGAGAAAATTACACCTACATGGAAGTTTAGAGTACCAGCAAATAATTTAGAATTGAGAGGCAAAAATACCTTTTAATCTTATTAAATATAAAAACTTACCTGTTCCTAGCAACTGCGTGAAGTTAGAAGTCCTGATTTGCAAATCACGATAGGAGAAGTTCATAGGAGCACCTGATAAGATCAAAGAACTTTCCATCTCCCTTTTTAATGTTCTTTTTCGGTGAACATTATAGTATAGCAGTAAACATAAAAGGGCAATAAGAAGTGTCATACTAAGAACAATTGGAAGGACCAAAACCTTCTCTTTAACTTCACCATCAGAATTATTGGTAGATCCTCTAGCTTTACCTTCTGGGTTCACTGAGCCATTTGACCTGACCTTCACAAATAAGGTTGCACTAGTGTCCTCAAACCCTCCAAAATCCAAGTTCTTTAATACCCAACAATATGGTGTTTCTTCAGTTAAACCATAAACTGAAGCAACACAATCACAATCTGATAAGCAGGCATCCCCACATTTTGACAAAGTAGCAACATCACTGTAGTTAGCTACCACAGACATTTCAGAAAAATAATAATTTGTCTGTTGCACTACAGAAATCTCAAACTCTGATGTTTGGGTTTGGTTCTTGTTTTCATGTTGGGGATTGCATTTTCCAACTAGTGAAGAATTCTCATAGCAAAGGCCATCCCTTCCAACTTGAGAAGTCCCAGGCAAGCAAGTACAAGATGCACTAGTCTTACTTCTATCTAATTTACAAATCCCATTACCACAAATTCCAGCAATATCACAAGGGTTTGATACGGCAGCCCACTCTGATACCCACTGTCTTGACCCATTCACATCATCGTCCCAACGATACAAATGCAGATTTCCATTCTTCTCTAGTGTCAGTCTTCTAAAAATGCTGAATGGGGTTGTTTGGTGAGAGGAATAAAATAACCCCAAGTCATCGTTTCCATTTTTATAAATATAAACGGCCCCATTTGAAGAATCTCCATAGACAATCCCGAAGCTTCCCGCTTGATCTAAAATTGCTGTGACATTCCCTGTGACATTGGAGATATCTGGGCCTTGCCAGTAGGAATAATTGGTGTAAGATTCTGAATCTGGGAGCATGTAAGTGAGGCCAAGGCTTAAAGAAGTGGTTTGTTGAAGCATTTTGAGGGCGTAGAAGCCACCATGAGAAGCAGATTTTGAGGATGTTAGTTCCGACGAGACAGTTATGGGTTGGTTTGGTAGGAGAGTGTCGGATGGCTGTGAGAAGCTCTGCCAGACAGGGCGGCTGACGGCGGAGGAGGACATATAGAGGACAAAGTTGCCGGATTCCTCCATGGATGCTGAATGTACGCCAGTGCCAGAGGTGTTTGAGGCCCAGAGAGTGACATTTCCATCAGAGAGAACGAGGTTCCCGGCCATGTTGAGCTCCAAGATAGCATTTCGAGATGCGGGAGAATCTCTATTTTGGATTTGAGAAAGAATGTGAAATTTTGTCGGCAACTTGGCAAAGAGAGATGTAGAGAGACATCATAACCTGCAGTGGCTACTGTGAAGACTAGATGGAGATATGATTTATGACTTTATTTATTTTTAAGTCAAAAACCAAATTAACCATCTAATCTTTGTATTTTTTTTTTTTGCCAAATAAATTTTTTGCTTCTAGTTTGTCGATGTCATTTTTTTTACCAGCTTTTTTTTTAACCAAATTATTTTTTTTACCGGAATTTTTTTTTTGCCACATTTTTACCATCTGCTTTGCATCTTGGTGGAGTCTACAAATTTTCCATTAATAATAAGTAGTGATATCATTATTTTTTGGGGAAAAGATATCCTAAATTTTAATGATAAATTGAGTGTTCAAAAATATAATAATATAGAGTTCTTTTTTTATACTCCCTTAGATAATATAAAACATTTTTAATTAAATTATAGTTTAATAAAATTAGTTAATTATTTTTAAATTATACCATTTTTCATGTTTGTCTTTGATTATTTAATAAAGTGTCTAAGATAAAATATTAAGTGAGTTGTTTATTAAAAATATTTTTTAAAAAATTATTAATTATATATTAAAAACTATAAGGGTCTTATATTTTGAATATATAATTTAATAAAAAAATCTTATATTTTTTAAGAAAGTGAGTATAGGTTATGCAAGATGACAAGATTTAAAATTTGGTGCCTTTATGTTTTGCTCCTTTTCCAATCCCATTTTTAGGAGAAAACTATTGACGGGTGTGTTTGAATTTTAGTTATGTATAATTAATTATGAAAAAATTAATTAATATGATTGATTTAGAATATAATTGATTATGTTATATAATATATAATTGATTGACAAGATTAATTTTAATCAAAACTGAAATGTAAAGTTGAAAATGAGATAAAATCTTAATTTTGTAAAAACATATCCAAACATCTATGTTACTTTGTTACATGTTAAAATTAATTATGAATTTAAAATTATATTTTTTAAAAATATCTAAATACTAATTATACATGTCAAAATCAGTTATAAACTCAAAACTATGATTTTCTTTAAAATATCCAAACAATCCCATACATGCCAAAATCAATTATAAACCTAAAATTATAGTTATCTCATAAATTATTACTACCTGCTTTTTAATTTAATTCTTCAATTATAAATTTCTAAAAATTTATTTAAAAATCGTATAAATTATTTATAAATCATATTTTTAATTCATAATTTATTTTAACATAAAAAGATGTGTTTGGATATTTTTAAGAAAATTATAGTTTTAAATTTATAATTAATTTTAGCATATATAATGGGTGTTGGATATTTTCAAGAAAATATAATTTTAAATTTATAATTAATTCTAATATGTAACATACGTCTTTGGATAAATTTTGTAAAAACATGATTTTTGTATAATTAATTGACTATAAAAGCAAATCCAAACAGGCATGACGTTTTCCTATCCTAACATAAAACCTTCGTTCATTCGTGGTTTAGTTTCCTGAATTATATTTGTGTCTCCGTACATAGATGGTTTGGAAAATAATAAAATAAAAATGTAAAATAAAATATAACATCATGTTTTAAAATAAATAATAAAAATATCATAATTTTTAAACATAATAAAATATAAAAATATTTTTAATATATGTTAAATTTAAATTTTTTATATTACCATGTGACTATTCATATACATTGAGTAACTGATATTCTATATATACGCAAGTAACATTTATTAAATACATAATTGAGTGTCTTTAAATTATAAGTGATGATGCACCAATTCACAAACGTATTTATTTATTTGCAACTGAATCTTTATAAATGAACTATTAATCTTTTTTAAAATTCACTGGTGAATATGCTTAAATAAATTTATAAAACTATCTATCAATTCATTATTTTCTTGTTAAAGAAAGAATCAATTTTATTAATCATTAATAAAGAGTACAGGCACCATATCTCGAAATTAAAAAAACACTAAAACAAAAAAGTTAAAATATAAACTAACACACATCTAAACCAAAGAAATGACAAGAAATCAAAAACATAACAAACACAAATCAAAACAAAAGCAAGAACAAAAGACAATTCAACCAACTTACCAATACCCTTTTATCGTAAAATAAGGCTTAGGAAATTTGGGTATCACCAAACTTTATCAATTCACAATTAACTTTATATTGATTTACAAGTAATATTCTTTAAAATTTCAACTAACTTTATTTTAATTTAGGATTCACATTTCACTAATTATTTTAATAATTATTTGGTTTTTAATTGCAAAGAAGCATACTTCATCCGTTTCTATATATAAGAGAAAAAAACTGCATTATACAGTTTAAGAAAATTAGTTAATCACAATAATTACATTTGAAAATAAAAAAATAAAATAAAATTTCCTATATCAATCAACATAAATATATATTAATTATTTCTCATTAATATAAATTATGAGAGGCAACTTAAAAAATATGTAATAAATACTTATTGAAATATATAATTTTGTTTATATAAAAAAACAAATAAAAAGTGATTTTTTTCTCTTACAAATAGAAATGAAGTAGTATTATCTTTTCATGATATTTTAATAATTGCATATTGCTTTAACATTTCCTATAACTTCATTCATCTAAAGTATTGATAAGAGGATCTAGATCCAAAAGCAAAATTAACAATATGATCAATGCATATAAATTAAAAGTGGAAAAAAGAAAGAAAGAAAGAGCATACCTGTTAGGTGACCAGACCAAAGTTGGATCTCCGGGAAGCTTGGCAAACCAGATAGCAAGCAGAAACAACTTATCATCATCATTAACATAAGTTCCTGAAGAAGTGAACCCAAACGCGAACGTGCCATTATCTGAAATCCATGCCTCACCTTTGCTAGCCACTAGTCTCATGCCCAAACCAATATGGCTTGCTCTAACACTATTATGAAAACCAGCTATCACCAAAAAAATCAAGACCCACCAGCAACAACAAGAACGAGAAGAAGTAGCCATTAATGTCAGCTACGCTTGCATGTGATTAAGCTAGTCTCACAAATGCTTTAATAATCTCACCTCAATGCTATAGTTTCAGCCTTGTGGATTGGAGTGTGTGTGTGTATGTATGTGTATATATATTGGGGGAAGATTATGTGAGTGGGGTGCGTGGGGGAAGTAAAGAGAAGGGAAACTCTGACACGTGGATAGAGGTGGGTGAGCTACAAGTTTGAAAAATAGGAATGGGATGGTGACCGTGCATGTATGGTCGGCCGTGATGATATGATTGATCAGAATAGAAAGGAATTTGGGTTTGTTGCTGCCCGAAACAGACAAGCGGCCATAAGTCAGACACGTGGTTGTATACTTGTTTCCACAATGCGGTTGCCTTGTCCGCACCGACACCGTGGTTTGATGATTTTGCAGATTTACCAGCGAAAAATACGGCTATAAGACCCTAAAGTTTTAATGTATTTTGATATTAGTTTTTATATTTTTTGTCATTGTTTTAAATCTTGAGTTATGGAATATTTTTGTCTCAAAACTTTATATAAAAAGTCATAAATAATTTTAAATTTAATTATGAATTAATTTTTTTTTTAACTTTAAAGATTTCATCTATAATCACTCTAATATTAAAAACACTTCACATTCATTAATCATTATTGAGTTCCACTATTATTTTAATATTTTTTATCAAATTAAGGGTTATTTTTACTCTTCAATTTCTATTTAAAGAGTCATTTTTACTCCTTAACTTAAATATTTTATAATAAAAATATTAAAAAATATAATATAGAGCTCACTAACAGTGAGAAAACATTGGGTAATGAGAAAGAAATTTTTTAAAATTGAGGAACAAAATTAATTCATAGTTAAATTTAAGGTCATTTATGATCTTGCGTATATAATTTAGGGATAAAAATGATCATTAACCTTTAAATCTTTTAAATTTTGTTTGTGAGCAATGTTATTAATTAGTTTTTATTATCACTGACAAAGTTAAGTTTGTTGATGTATATATAACTTTGTTAATTTTGTTATTGAGTTAATAAAATTATAATGATTTTTGGACATTATATGAGAAAAATCATTACTAATTAATTTATTTGCATGTTTTCCCTAACTGTTTTACTTCTTCCTTATGAAACTTCATCTATTGTGCATTTCATGCATGGTTCTAGTTTAATATTTTGTTTATTTTATTTTTATGCTTTCTACTCTTTTTTTATACAAACTCTTCATGATTTTAACAAGCATATGCTAACCACCATTAAATTCTTATGAAAATAAAGGATTAATGTTGTAAATAGATAAAACTTAAGGAGCTTTGAGCAATGAAAAAGTATAAAGACTCATGTCAAAACATGTTAAGATATAGAGATCAATAATTATTTTTTTCCTTTATGATTCCAAGTTCATAGATGATCGTATATAGTATATTCAATGACGGTGTCAGGACCTTGATTTAGGGGATGCAAATAATTTAATAAAAAAATAATAATTATGTAGGACTAAAATTTTAATAATATAAATCATTTTATCATTATTTTTTATTTTAAAAAATTATATTAAACAGATTAATATGATCTCATATTATAAATATGTTCTTTATATTTTATCCAAATCATTAAAATATTATATATTTAATAAATTTTTTAACCTAAATATTTTTTATTTAACTGAGAGTGCAAAATATTAAGAATATAAGGTGTAAAGTTATAAATTTTATATATCTCACTCTCACTCGTAATCGTTTCCAAAATGAGGTGCACCCTCTCAACACAATGTGGCTCTGTTGCTGAACGTAATCTATTTAAATTAAAGTTAGAAAAGATGCATTGAGGCATTTGTCTGTGGATTCGTTTTCTCGCTGCGACAGTGAAAGATGCAATTTTTTGCCCTTTAAAGTCTATACATTAATGATGATGATATACCTGAAAGCGTTGAAAATTGAAAATCATGACTTTTTCTTCTTTGGTAAGTGAAGTTCAATAATTTTGATGCTACTCATGTCAATGCTTGACTCTTGAGGTACGATTTGATACAATATGCGTTTGAGCTGAAACCAACAGGTTCAGCTTCAGTTAACAACGGCATCAAAATACACCATTGTGCCATTATTTCACAACTGAGGAGACCATTCACTGTCACTTATGCAGGGCTATTTTACTATGAGAGAAATGCTTTAAGATTTCACTTAATATATTTAATTATTTTTAAATTTATTGACAACTGAATTTAAAAAAATAACATTAAATCTGAGAATAACTAATTGTATTGAGGGGGATTTAATATGTAATTGTCCTTTTTACTTTTTTACACATTCCGCAATTCATTTCTTCTGCTTCCAGTCTCTCCCATTCATTCTTCTTTTAGTTTTCACCGCTCTCACAATTTTACATTTTTCAATATATATGTTGCCACTCGTTGGTAAAATATATATATATATATATATATATATGTTGCCACTCAATATTTTTTAAAAAATAAAACTTTCTTTCACTTTCAACTTATAGAAATAAAAAATAAATCACATTATATAATAAAAATACTCAATACTTACTAATGGGGTGGGGTTTAGCAGAAGAGATTAATCCCTACAATATGGTAAATCAAGATTTGAATTTCTATTAAGAAAAATGCTTATATTTAGCCTCTGACTTTATTTCAAATATAATTATCTTTAATAGGAATATATTTATGCATAATACAAAAAATACTCAATACTTAATACCATTTTTCTAAGGTTAATGAGTTTAAACAGGTAGTTCAAACCTGGGCCTTGTATTTTTTTAAAAAAATCTTTTTATACAATAATATATCCCAATTTTTAAAACTCAAGTCTAAAAAAAAAACTTCAAACAGGTGCCTCAATGAACCTAATCTGTATTTTTGACTCTACTTGGAATAATGTAAAGTGACCAAGAGACAACTTTCATGCATTAAATTTTTTGGTCATATAATGTGAATTATTTTTTATTTCTGTGCTTTTTTTTTTTCATTTGGAAATGTAAGAGAAAACTTTGTTTGTTAATTAAGCATTGAGGAGCAAGCATATTGAAAAATAAAACCAAATTGCCCATTATACTGTGAAAAAATATTTTATTTACCAATACACCACACTATTAAGAATATTTACCATTTTGGAACTTGGTTTAATAGACATCAAGTTCTAAAACTTTTGGTTTTTTTGGCATCCGGCTTATGCAAGGCTAGATGTTTATGAAACCAACTTTTGTATCACATTATTTAAAAAATTTCAAATGATATAAAATACGCTTATTACTTTTTCTCTCCTCACAACCTTACCATGATCCGTCCATTCCCTCCCTCCCTCTTTTTCCATGGCGGCAGCAACCTTCCCCAGCCCCTTTTACAAACAATCACTCTTCCCCTGTCCCTCTCCAAGTGCGGAACTAGGTGTATGTTAAGGAGGGCCATGCTTGTGCAGCCCTCTATAAAATTGTTAGCGGTTTATTTGTTTGATGATAATGGAAAATAATTTTTTAGGATTAAAGTGTATTTTTATCTTTAAACTTTTGTTAAGAAGCAATTTTATCCCTATACTTATAAGTGGGACCATTTTACCCTTAAATTATTTTTTCAAATTGCAAAAAAACCCTTCTACAAGATGCCTAGCGCTCTTCTAAAAAAATAGTTTAGAAATAAAATTATCTCATATATGAGTACATAGATAAAATTGTTCCTTAATAATAAGTTCAGGGGTAAAAATATACCTTAACTTTTTTTTTATTTAACATAATTCTAATTAGCAAAAAAAAAAAAATCTCTTCACAACCACTCACACAAACAAACCAACACTGTCACACATAGTTTGTGATTTCGCGGGTATTGTTAAATTATCGTGTTAAATTAAATAGAAATGAAATATATATATATATATATATATTAATAATATTTGAATTCAATGGGTTAACATATATGTCTTGTTCTTTATATTTCATTTTAATCATTGAATTTTATAAAATGTTCTTTTATTTTTCTAATCTTAACACTGTTAATTTCATTAAAACAATTCTCACATTAAACTTTTAAATGTTGACAAAATATTTTTAAATAGTTAACATATTAAGTTTGATTTTTTAAAATAACAATGGTTGACACAAAAAAAAAATCACCATTTCAAACTAGCAATGTTATGATTAGAGGACTAAAAAATATTTTATAAAATAAAGGAACCAAAATAAAATCTCATATTAAATTAGAGGAAATTAGAGGATAGTTACACTTTAGCTTGTTCATTGTGTAATTTTTTTTAACAAAACTTGGGAATTGCCCATCAACTATTATTTTTTAAATTGATATGTTATGTTTATTGTAACATCCCAAAATTTAATCCTTGAATTATCACTAAATTTATCAAATTTAATTAGTATGAGTTATATGATATATGGTTAGAGGGGACTAATGAGTGTCCTTGGTGGGAATTTCAAGTATAAATATGAGTTCAAGGCGAGATTGGATCACTTGGGCATCAAGAGTGGAGAAAAACAAGGAGAAAAGTCTTTATATCACATGCTATGACGCATGAGGCCAAAACAAAGAAGTGATTCTCTCTATACCACAAGCCATGGTACGTATTCTACAGAAATAAGACTTGAATAGACAAAAAAATCAAAAGAGAAAGAAGGAGAAAATGAAAGAGTTCGCCTTTGCTCTGCTAGAGCTTCGACTTTGAGAAAGTTTGAGGCATTTAGAAGTTATCAAATTCCAAAAGTAAGTTCCCTAACTTCTTCTTCCTCCTTGCCTACCCATTTTCTTAAAGATTGTTGGTTATGGTTTGATAATGTAAAGCCATTCAATTCACATAGATTATGGGTCCAAAGCCATTGACTCAATTGAAATTAATGGAAGTTGTTTTGAGTGTTTAAACTTAAAAATTATGGATTTAGATATTAATGGTAGTTGAGAGCCGTTATTGTTCAAAAATGAGTGATAAATTTGCATTTATGAGGGTTGTTGTGATATTAATGACCCTATATGAGTTGGGCGATTGATAATTGGGAGTGATAGAAGCTATTTAACTTGGTAAATCTAAATATGAGAAGTAAAGGCATTGAGTATGT